CTCAAGAAAACGTTTCTTAAGAAGAGAATTCAGTCAAAAGGTAAATAAAAAACAAAAAATTAATTTGATGATTAATCGAGAAATTATTATACAACAATTTAAATTCGATAATTGTTTATTTGCAAGATAATTTTCGATAAAATTCTTGAAAGAATATATATTAGATTATTAGTCGTTTATGTCAAAGAGTAAAATTCAAAATGATCACGTGAAAATTATTGTTTTGAAATAGATTATTGAAAATTTTTATTTGATTTTGTTTTTATTATTATTCTAAGATAGTAGTTTTGAAAGCAAAACAAAAATAGAAAAATGTGCTTAGATGAAAATTTGACTTCATTTTTTTCTGTCAGTTTTTCGACTATGGAATGAAACATTAAATATACCCGCATCAAATGATGAATTTATTCTTGATTTATATCAATTAATGGGTCGAATCACTGCAGAGTTTTGTAACAAGGGACGACAATATGATGCAACAATCAGTTATGAAGAATTATTTAAAGCTGGTCGAAGTGTTTGGTTTATGAGTGCTTTTCACATTGAATGCAATTTACCCTTAACTTTCACTGATTCTATGCTTGGTTATAATATGCTTTATCCATATACAGATGATTTAGTCGATTGTAACGATATAAGTCGAGAAGCAAAAGCCGATTTCGCAAAACTTTTTCATGAACGACTACTGATTGGTGAACCAACATATGATCCTCAAGTACATTTTGATGGAAAACAATCAAATATTGCTGAATTAAATTTACCATCATCATTACAAGCACAAGCTAATCGTATAGTAAAAATATTTGATATGGTTAAATTTATTGAAAATGATTGGAGACGTGGTGGTGAATATGAAGGTGTTTATATGAGTTTAACTACAATACATGAAGCGCAAATGAAATCAATATTACAACATGCAAGAACTGAAGATGATTATGCACCAACTATGGCACAAATTGAACAAATTAGTGCAGAAAAAGGTGGCGCATCAGTACTAGCTGGTGGATTTTTACTTCAAGGACGATTAACAAGAGCTCAAATGGCTTATTTAGAATATGTGGGATTTGGTTTACAATTAATTGATGATTTACAAGTAAGTGTAAATTTTTAACGTTTATATTAATTTTCAAAAAGAAAATATTTTTTGTTTTTTTAAGGATATGAAAGAAGATATGAAAAATAATCATCGAACAGTTTTTACTCAAACTCTTGCTGAAGGTCGAACATTAGATGCACCAACAGCACGTCTTATTCAATATTGTTATTGTGCACCACTATATGAAAAATTTAGTGATGATCAACATGCAGTTTCAGATGGAGAAACTGATTTTACATTAGGTCAATATGTTCGAGTTTTAATGATGATGTTGTCTGTTTTATTGATTTTAGAAGCTGCATCTCGATTACGAAAATATTATTCAAAAGAATTCTATCGTGAATTATCTTCATTAAGCCCACTTAGATTTCATCATCTCAAATTTGTTCATATTGAGAAAACACTTTGGAGTATTATACAAAAACAATGTTTTGAATAAGTTATTTTATAGTCTTTTATTTAACAATTATTTTTTTAATTATTATTCGAATAAAAGACGGTAGAACAGCTATTATTCATCACTCGAAAGAAATGAAACACAAAGAAAAGAAAATGAGTCTCGACTGGGATTTGCACCCAGGTACTATCACAATTGGTTAGGGGTGAGAAAGCTATTGTTATTGTTATTAATAACAATAACATTAACTTTTTGATTCAAAAAAATCAATAAAACAATTCTAAGCATAGTTTGTACGAACGTCAAAGGATCACTTTATTCATACAGTATCTTTTCTTACCATTTGATATAAGAACTTGTCGCAAATATTTTGAGAAACGGTAACATAACATATTTTGTTATTGTTATTGCTATATAACAATAACAATAACAATAACTTTCTCACCCCTACAATTGGTAACTAGCCAGACGCTATTACCAAGTAAACTATCGAAACAGTCTTAACTCAAATTCAATGTGAACATTTATTTTAGTCTTTTTGAGTTATAAATAATAGCCATTCTACCATCATTTATTCGAAAAAAATATGCTTTATGTATTTTATTTTGCCAAAAAGAAATAAATGATACCAATTAATCAGATTTATATAGTTTAAAGATATGTTTGAAAAATGATTAGTGATGCTTCGCAAAAAACCAATTCATATACTAGGAAATATATTTTTTTGTAAACTGTTGATGAATTAATCTACTTTACTTATGCCACTATGAATCTTGACTGTAGTTCATTATTAATAAGATGACATGGAACAAATGACTAATTTTTCACGCATAATCAATTAAATATTGTGATCAATACATTTGAATGTGATAAACATATCATCGTTTGATTTTTGCGGCACTTTGAAAAATATTCTTCTAGTTTATCTGTTTTGATACTGTTTGGGACATTAGTTTTACGTACAATGTAAACAGAAAGTTTGAGAGAATGTTTTTTGCTGTTTTTTTTCAAACTGTATCATGATAGCAGGAATGTATTTTAAAAGAATTCAATAAAACAGTAACGAATCTAGGATTTTGTAAGAGGGTCATTTCTCCGAAGAAGAAGTAATCATTGGAGAAAATCACTTTTTGAGACTTATAATAGGTTGGTAAGAAATTTTTTGCGGTTTCTTTACATTTCCTAGAACAGTCGAGAAAGTTCTAGAAGCTTCCATACGAAGAGTATTTAAAGAGGTACAAACATCTTTCGAGCAACTACAAAACTATGGATATGGACGTTGATCTCGAATTAGAAATGAAGATATCTCGTAGAGAGTTTCGAGTGCTTCTGCTTCATGAATTCCGTTTGGGCCGCAAAGCAACGGAAGCAACATATGCAGCACGATGGGCAAAGATGTGCTCTCCATCCGTACAGCGCAACATTGGTTCAATCGGTTCAAGAACGACAACTTCGAACTCGACAATTCACCTCATTCCGGAAGACCACTACGGATGGATATGGATGTCTTAAGGCAGCTGATCGACGAAGATCCAAGATTGACTACACGGTGTTTAGCAGAGCGACTTGGGTGCTCTTATACTGCAGTAGAAAAACATCTGAGTGAATTAGGCAAGACATGGAGATATGGAATTTGGATACCACATGATTTGTCACTGCATCAGCTTCAACACAGGTTTGATGCTTTTATGGAGTTAATAACGTCTCACCACAACAACCAATGGCTTCGCAGTCTTATTACCGGCGATGAAAAGTGAGTGTTGTATGTTAACCATACGCGCAAGCGGCAGTGACTGGGAGCTGGACAAATAGGTGTAGCAATGCCCAAAAGGGTGTGAAGTGGGGTGTGGGTGTGGATGTGAGTATGGTTGTGGGTGTGGGGTGTGTGAGTGAATGTGAGTGTGGGGTTTGGGTGTACATGGGTCTTTTTTCAGCCAACGCCCAAACCCACTCGCTCCCACACTGACACCCATCCACACTCCACACTCACATCCTAAAATGCAATCGATTTAGAGATAAAAATGAATGCAGAAATGAACCTAAGACTGTATAGAGGAAATTTTGAAAAATAAAAAAAACTCTAAATATTAAACTTTCGATTAGTAATTTTATAAAACTTACAATAAATATAAGTTTCCTTAAAATTGAAGTGAATATATTTTCAAGAATTTTAATAGAGAAAAAACTGGAATAGTTCATTTATTTAATATGTAAATGATTGAAAGTAAAAGAATATTTTTAATTGAATTGGATAGTTTTTGAACTTGAATTTTATCTTCGCAAATGAGAAAACACGCTTTTAAACATCTTCGTTGAATAAAAGGCCATATTCTGATGCAGAACAAGTCATCCTATCGAACTATATACGATAGTGTAATTCTACAAACAAATATTTTCTTGCAAATTTTTTTTCATGAGGTCCAGCTTAAATGAAATTTTCAAAAAAATTATCTTTTGATAATGATCGTTTATTAGGTATTAGGTTATGCAACTAAAAATAGAATTAAAACATTTTTATAGAAAGAAAAATGCTAACGAATATTTTGAAGATGTGGCTGAATATATATATAGTTTTACTTGTGTACTTAAGCAACATTCACGTTTAGCAACAAAGTTTAAACGGTTAGATTGGACAGATGATATATTATCAGGAAAAGCGTTGTTATAAATTTTATTAAAGTTATTTGGCTATAATATTAAATTTAAATTTAATTGAGGACGTTGGTATGGGTGGTTGTGTCTTGCAATAGCTCAAAAAACACTACCTGAAAGACATTCAAATTTTGGATTAATATATAATAATATTGATGATGTTCATCGATTGATGGACGATTATGAAAGGGGCACTTTCGTTCCATCGGAAAGCGTTAGATATTCATGAAAATATTTAATGTAATTCTTTCGAATGGGCAGCAACATATGCGAATTTAGGTGAAAGTTATCGAAAAATGAAAAAGTACTCAATGGTTTTGGCATATATCGAAAAAGAATTTCAAACACGCGAAAAGGACTAAGAAAACCACCTCTAAGTAATACTCCATATCATAAAGTTAATCAAAAAGCTAAGATATTCTTCCTTCAATACTATTACTATTACTACTTAGTCTCTTCTATCAGTGAAAAATTCAAATCTATAAACTAAATCTAATTTGCTTTCTCTTATTATGACTATTCTTTAAATTAAACTTTTGATAACACAATAATAAATAATGGATAAATTTTACCATTTATTAATTACTCTTATGTCATTCTATTTTTTTGAACACAAAAGCGCATCTAATATACATTGAATAATGCTATACAAATACATTGTTTGTTTTTCTTTTTTTTTTCTTCTTTATCAATGAAACAAATAATACAAAGACGCACATATACGATATAACACTTTCATCAAACTGATCGAAGCAACAAAAAAAGAAAAGAGAAGAAATTTCTGTACAAACATATGCGATTTGCTCTCAACAACGAGCATTACAAAACAAACCAATGAATGACTAATAAAATAAGTTAATTATTTGTTATCGTCGTTGTTGATGTAACCGTATTATTTCCATTTGATGATGTTGAACCTGTTTCAACTGGTTTTGTTTGATTGTAAAAATCAGGTATAAGTTTAAGTCTATTCAACATTTGATCCATTATTGTTGGTGATAATGAGTCATTTGAATACCATATAGAATTTTCATGAACTTGCTCTGATATTGGACGTAAATAAAAAACATCCGCTGTACCACGTATTTGTTCAGGACTAATATAAAATAAATAAAAGTAATAAATATTTAAAATATGAAATTTATCTTACCATTTCGATACATAAAAATCGTATTGTTTTATGGGACATCGAACTGGATCATTCATTTGTTCAGTTATTTCATAAAACGTTGGTGAATTTACTAATGATTTCAGATCTTTATAAAGAAAAAGAAAAATGTATTTTTTTTAAATGTTAGCGCAGTTTCTTGGCATCCTCCAGATATCCATTAAAGAAGTACTTCATACATTATAATGAGACATTAGTAATACATAGTCTTCGATCATATATCAATTTTTCAGTAATATATGCAATTAGTTCAGATCAAGATAGTAATTTTAGTAGTCGATAGAGTTTTCAGGTTACAGAAGACTCTCTTCTTAACTACGCCGTTTTGAAGAGCACGAAATGCTGAACAAAATAAGAGATTATAACATTTTCTATGACTTTCTCTGAAATAGTTACGAGTATCACAAAAATCAAAATTTATTAAAAAATAGACTAAACCCTTTTTTCCTCGGTTTTTGTGATAATTTTAATTTTTTCAGAGAAGATCGTAGAAAATGCAGCAACTCATCATTGTGTGTTCTTTAAAACTGCATTGTTAATAAATATAACTGCCATGTTCACCTTTTTAGAAATCTTATCATGATATTGTTGTGAAACTTTTTCTCTTTCACTTTTCGGTAACACTTTTTTTTTCAATCATGTTTTATATCATAATCAATATTATTTTACCTGGATTATGAGCATAAAATCGTAAATAATTCATTTGTTGTCCTTGTGGTGAATTTGTCGATAAACGTACCCATTGAGAATATTTACCAAAATTTGCAAATGATATAGCCATATGTGCTTCAACAGTTTTTAAATTAAAATATTTTGAATTTGTATAAAGTAATGTTGTTAGTAATGACCATGGTGTTAATGTACCTAATTGATGAACATCATATAATAAATCTTCATCAATTAATGATACAATTGTATTTGCTAAAAGAAATGAATTATGCAATATTTATTTTGAATAATGAGAATACAAACAAAATAAACAATTGAACTTACAATCAGTTAAAAGACGTGGTGTATAAGTTTGAAGAATTCCATTTAATGTCGAATTAAATTCTATATAACGAGGTTCGAATAGATCGATTTGACGATTATTTAAATTTAAATAAAATTGAATACCTAAAATGTTTACATAAAGGAATGTTTTCTTTTAGAAAGTTGAGATATTCTTATTCGATTTTTCAAACTGAGAAAATTTTTTTCAATTCATTTAAATATGCAATCAGAATTAAAGACGATTTATATTCTTTTTTAATTTCGGCGTACGAGAAAACCTTCTCAAATGTCTCGTTCATCTATCGAATTTTTAATATGATATTTTTCTAAACGTTTGAGGTTTTCGGAAACGAAAGTTTTAAATAAAACCTCTTCGAAGTATGAAGTTTTGGTAAAATGCATGTTGTTAGAAAAAATTTATACAAAGTATTAATTAAGCAAAACTATTCAAGAACTTTTTTTCGAATTTAATCATAGTAGAATTCATTTTATTGCGATGAAGAAAATTGTAAAATGAAAAGATTGGTTAGAATATATTAATCTTCGAGAGGAAGGAATGAAAAATATCTAGACTCTTTACATTAAAAGAAACTGATTCATTGCACTTACCCAAACAAAGATAATAAATACTCTCGGGTAAATATTGTTCGCCTGTTGGACGACGAACTTCACGTATAAATACATCCATAACTTGTTGTAATTCATCACCATTTACATATGAAAGTAAATCAGATTTAACAAAATATTGTTTTGCTATTTCTGCTTCTAAATAAATTTTTAGTTTGACAAAGAAAAACGTTCAGTTGAAGATAATTACCTTCTGGTGTAACTGTTAATATAGAACGATTACGTTGTGCACACCATTGTTGAAATGCTTCAACACCATAAGTCCATTTAAGACGATATCCAGCATCAGGTAACATTCGAAGAAGCTAGAAAAACAAATGATCTATATAACGATGTTAAAAACAAAACCTACGAAATTAAAATAGAATGAAACATTTCACATTGAAAGAAAAACAAAAAAAACGACTAACTAAAATTCAATTGAAACCGAAAATTTGTCATTAATTACTGAGAAGTTGCTCAAGTGTTGCATAATCTGCCGTCAAAGAAAGTCAACAATAGCTAAAAATATGATTAAGGTCTCGGAATAAATCACTTTTTTTAGGGAAGGCATAGTTAGATACATCGTGTATGCACTTTTTGAAGCGTTTCTAGGTCAAAAGTGAAACAAAGAAATTGCCTATTGAACGATACCTTTTGAACTTCAGGATCATTTGATGTAATTGGATCAATATAATGAGCTTCAAGATCAAGTTCGGGTAAATTTTCCATTGTTTGTGACGTTGTTATATATGAATCTAATAATGTAAAATTACATAAAAAAATAGAAACCAATAAAGATTTAAATTAAACAAACCATCACGTGTTAAATCCATCATCATAACTGATTCATGTCCACTTGTTATTGTTTGTTGTGGTTGACTTTCTGCACGTGCAAGACTTTCTGCATGCATAACAAGTGCTGCTTCAAATGGATCATCAGGTAACAAATCTCGTTGAGTCTAGATATTGAACGTTTTTCTTTTAAAAGAAAACATTTCTTTAAAAAATATCTTACTTGAAGATAATCACGTATATTTTTATAAGTACTTCGTTGTACAGGTATCATAATTGGTACAAAAAAAGGTACTGGTATTGGTACAGCTTTAGGTTTAAATAACTGATAACTTGGTGTTGGTGATGGGAGGTAAATTGGTACAGGTAAACTAACTAAAGGTACATCAGGAATCATATGTTCCATTTCTAAAATGGAACCATATTTGTTATTTAAATAAATGTAGAAAAAATAAATAAAACCTGTTTGTGTAGCTATAGTAAATCTGGTTGGTTTAGCTTCAACTTCACGTTCAGATACTAATGGTTTACATAGTGTCATTTTATTTTTCATTGTTGATGGATTAATTATTTGTTGTGGCATAATTAATGGTACAAAAGATTTAACATGATATAATTCATCATCAGGCCAACGTGCTTGTTTTTTATTTATATTTGGTGTACTACGAATTTCAGCTGTTGTACGTGGTTTACGTCCTGGTCCACTTGTTGATAATTGAGATTGTTGATTTTGTTGTTGTTGCGGACGTGGATAATCCATTAAACGATATGGTATATCATCTTCATCATCTTCAGCTTTATTTAATGGCATTGATGATGGCGTTGGTGGTATTGGATTTCCATTTTCATCTCGATCTAATAATGGAAATGTAACAAAATCTGCATCTTGTTTTGGTTTTGGTACACGTGTTGAACGACGTGTTGGTCCTAAACTATCATTACTACTCATTGGTGGAGATGAATCACGATCTGAATCATCATCATCATCTGATGAATGACGTCGAGAACGATTTCTAACGAACAAAATTAAATGTAAAATTTTTAAAACTCTATTTTTCTTTTCTTTGAATATTTACTGAAACCAAGATATTGGTCGTCGTTGTTGAGATGATATTGTTTGGTGTTGGTGTTGTTGTTGCTGCTGTTGTTGTTGTTGTTGTTGCTGCTGCTGCTGTTGTTGTTGTTGTTGTTGTTGTTGTTGTTGTTGTTGTTGTTTATTTCCCGACATTAATCCAGTACGATTATGATATTGTCCTTGTCCAATAGTTGTGGGACGTCCAAAAAACATTCGTTCATCATTAGTTATTTGTTGTTGCATTGGTTTACGAATAGTTGCATTATTATGTGATGTTATTGTTGATTTGACAGCTGTATTACCTGTACGTGGTGTTGTACCAATTACTTTTTGTTCAATATTTATAGGGACAATATCAACTGGTGGTTGTTGAATAAGTGTTGTTAGTTCTTGAAGAAGAGTCTCAGCTGATGCTTGAGTTGCTGCTGCTGTTGTTGTTGGTAATTCAGCAGGTGCAGCAACAGTTAATAATTCTATCGTTTGACCTATACCAGGTAAGACTACAAAAGAAAGAAATGGCGCGTATTTAAATGATTAAATAATAGATTAGTTTCTTGTTTTTTTTCGTCTTACATGCTTTTCCTGTTTTATTTAATTCTTCAAGAAAAGCATTCATTTCTGCTTCACTCATTGAACTAAGTACAGCTTGAAGTGTAGCATCATCCACAACATTTATTTGTTGTTGTTGTTGCTGTTGTGGTTCTCTCGTTGTTGGAAGAACATTTTGCTCTAAATAATGAATAAACTTAATTAAATAACTATAACGACGTCTACACGGTTTGTAACAGAGAGGAGGATGGATCCAAATTTTCAACCCAATACTTCAATAGTTCTTTTACATCGTGTTTCACAAAATTTTCTTTCTGCTTTTTTTTTACCTTCATGATTTGTCGATGAAGTGTTTGTGACTTGATTGTTCATATCTGTAATAGATAAATATATGTATAAAAAATATAACGAAAAAATTACAAATTATTATTTTATAAATATTAAAAAATAAAACAATTTATTCTACTTGTCATTTTTATTAATAAAATGAAATAACATGTAAAATAGTTCTTTGTTGATATTCAGTGAGTATTTTATCAATTGTATTATTCATTTTACTTTCAAACAAACGTTCCATATTCAATCGATAAAAAAAAGACTCATAGCTTTGTCCAGTTGAAAACCTATTCGATTGGTTAATAATGGTATGACCAATTAAAAATAGCTTCTCTTTATTACAGACGTCGCTCTATGCAAGAAAAATAGATTTATTAATTCTAAAAAACAAACAGATTATTTCTTAAAGGTTACGAAGGTACGCCAGATAAAGATGCTATATGTAAAAGTCTATATGTAGCTCACCCTAGGAGGTCGTTTGAACCAATGAGCTTATGTTCCATATTTAACTCTTTTCTGTCCATCTTTTAATGACAATGTCAAAATGTGTATAATGTGATGTGCATAGTCAATAGAAAACTTAATGAATGTCAATTGAATGTAACCACGCATAAATACGAAAATGAAAAGCTCTGATTTCAAAATCGATTGATCTCTTATTTGAAACAACATTTAAAAACAATATTTTTCAGTGTTATAAAATATTAATTTAATATGTATATGAACAGAATTCAAATTTAACTATAATCAGAGATTGAATATTCCTCCAAAGAGATCTGTTCATAATCTATGAGATTCAACGTTTTAATAAAAAGAAAAACAGAAACTTTTGATCTATTATCAGTCTTCATTTCGTATAATGATTGAAAGAGCAAGTATTAGTAAAGTACAATTTCAATTATTTATTGAATGTCTTTCTCAGGGAGAGAATTATCATGATCACAGCATAAAAATATCAAATTTTGTTTTCGAAACATTACAGAATTGGTTTTCAACTAATGAATTATCGCTAATTGAGAAGGGAAAGCTGACATCATTTTTTTTGAAAATTTTTTCCATTCCAAGGTTTGTCCAGTTACACCGAAGTTGTCAATAATTATTAACAAGATTAACCATACATTTTCTTTTGTTTTCATGTTGTTTAAATTTATATCATTGCTTACTTAAGCATGTGAGTATGAGTATAATCGAAAAGAAGACCAGTACTCTCAATGACATATCCATACTCATCCAAGTTTTTCAGTCATAGTTTATTCAGGTCAAGTGGAAAGAATCTTTCTTGCAGCTGTAGGTTTAGTTGTTATTACAAGTTGATTGTAATACTAAAATCGACACGTTCGTCTGTTAGATTCATTCAATTTTTCTATTTATCAATACTTTTCAATTCATATTAAATGTAGAGTAAACATTGACATCGTCAACATCTCATTATATTGAGCAATCTAAATTCGCGTTGAAGAGTTTTTGCTGGAAATCGATTACTTCTTAGTGAAAGCCTTCGTATGGTGAAATATAAGTGTGTTTTCTTGACTTAGATCAACTAGAAAAAAAGGTACATGGAGTTAACTATCTTTGTTCAACTCGTATTCCGATATGCTCTGATCCATAGATAAAAGGGTACTCCTCTGTACAGTGAACACTTTTAAATATTTTGAATGTTCACTCTACAGAGTTTTTACTAGTACCATGATGCTATCTAAGTTGATTCAATTGACTTGTTGAACTTTCTATAAAGATTAATATTTACTTATATTATACGATTATCATGATATTGTATTAAAAAAGCATTCTCACTAATATCCCCAGCAGTGTCCAAGGACTGAGTTTTGGGAATTCTTCCAATTCCTAAACGCACCAGCTAAAAGTGACATATCCCTTGAGGAACTGAGAACTGACCCTCAAGCACTTCACGAAACCTCCTCGGTTCGTCATCAATTCCTTGTCGTGAATAAATCACAAACCTTTGCAACGACAGTTCTCAAACCACGATACCTACTCACTTCCTCCCGTGGGTATTGACCGCCGACAATCCCTCAGAAATGAATCGAGGAAATAACTAGAACTAACCGTCAATACCGTTCGGGAGAACTGACACCAACATTAGCCACCATCATTCGAATCCCATAAGAAGAATCCAGGCAATAACAATTACCACACCAATGGGAGAAGACGCCGGCGAACTAAGGAATTGTGACAGTTTTGTTGACAGTTCATAGGAACTGAGGCGGATACCTAGAAACTTTCTAGGTATCCACCTTCGTTTCAAGGAACTGTCACAATTCCTCAGTTCCCCGGCTTTTTTCTGTATCCGATGTGATTTTAGTATCTAAAGAGTACTACGTCGTTACCTCAATTCCCCTGGGGAATTGAGCGTAGGTATCCACCTCAGTTCTCAGAAACTGTCAGCAGAAGTTAAATCTTTCCCTAGTATCTATGCTGCCTTAAATGAATCAAGAAAGCCTCCCAAGAAGTATAGAGTTTATATCAGAAAAAAATCAAAAGCCCCAGTCCTTCTCGTTCCCTTGACATATCTCCCACAGTTCTGCCCAGTTCTAAATGACAATTCCTTGGTTGAAATTTCCGTGACCAATTCCCCAGAAAAACTAAAGAATTATCCCTATTATCGAAGGGGTATACGACTCAGCTAATCAATCCTTCTCGAAGTAATAGGAACTTAGGGTAGGTTCCTTCTAGGTATCTACCTCAGTTCCGCGAGGAATTCAGGTAACGACGTAGTACTTTTTAGATACTAAAATCACATCAGATACAGAAAAAAGACGGGGAACTGAAGAATTGTGACAGTTCTGCTGACACTTCCTAGGAACTTAGATGAATACCTACATGGTACCTACCCTCAGTTCGCCAGGGGGATTGAGGTAATGACGTAGTACTCTTTAGATACTAAAATCACATCGGATACAGAAAAAAGCCGGGAAACTGAGGAATTGTGACAATTCTGCTGACACTTCCTAGGAACTGAGGTGGATACCTGCACGGTACCTACCCTCAGTTCCCCGAGAGAATTGAGGTAATGACGTAGTACTCTTTAGATACTAAAATTATACCATGTATAGAAAAAAGCCGGAGAACTGGGGAACTGTGACAGTTCCTTGGAACGAAGGTGGATACCTAGAAAGTTTCTAGGTATCCACCTCAGTTCCTATGAACTGTCAACAAAACTATCACAATTCCTTAGTTCCCTGGCGTCTCCTCGCATCGGTGTGGTAATTGTTATTGTCTGGATTCTTCTTATGGGATTCGAATGATGGTGGCTAATGTTGGTGTCAGTTTTCCCGATCGGTATTGACGGTTAGTTCTAGTTATTTCCTCGATTCCTTATCTGAGGAACTGTCGGCGGTCAATACCCACGGGAGGAAATGAGTAGGTATCACGGTTTGAGAACTGTCGTTGCCAAGGTTTGTGATTCATTCACGACAAGGAGTTGATGACGAACCGAGGAGGTTTCATGAAGTGCTTGAGGGTCAGTTCTCAGTTCCTCGAGGGATAGATCACTTTTAGTTGGTGATTTTAGGAATTGGAAGAATTCCCAAACCTCAGTCCTTGGACACCCCTCAACATCCGTCAGATGAAGAACTAGGTAAGAAAACAAGCTATTTTTGACATTTATTGAAATTTCGCAAGGAGAAAGCACGATTATAAGTGACTATCACCTATTATTTCGTAGGCGGTGGTGATCTGAGTAACAGTTTCAATGATTATTCCACAAAATCCCGATTTCCGACGTTAACATGAGCGTCACAACGGAAAAACTCTTAATAACCACTTTTTATGCTGTCTGTAACCGCTTCAGAACTATCTGGGTATAGCATCTTGAAGTTTGTAGAATATTAGGTTTCTTTTCAAATCATTTCATGTAAACGTTCGGTCTATTGTTTTAAGGACCTCATATTTATTTTTAAAGTTCAAGAGTAACATTTAAAAGTACTGTATGTAGTGCGTCACTCTTCCAGATACCTACAATTTTATTGCCGTCTTTGTCCGTGTAGGTACCATTACCATCTTTCATGTCAGACCACCATTGACCCTCGTATTTGGCACCATCGGTTTCAATTTGAATACCTAGGCCGGATCGAAGGTCGTTTTGCCATGTGCCACGATACATCTGTCCATCTGGATAGAATTGAATACCATCACCATATTGTCTGTTGTTTAACCATGCTCCTAAAATAACAACAGTATAGAAAACTAGTCAACTCGTTTTCGCATGCAAAATTTACCTATATAGCGTTGTCCATTCGGCCATTGCATCACACCCAAGCCTGATCGTTCATTATCTTTCCATTGACCCTTATAGCGATGTCCGTCACTCCATATTAGTTCACCAATGCCTACTCTAGAATTATCCTTCCAATATCCATCATAGGTCATTCCTAATTGAGCCCAGACTAAAATGCCATGTTCTTGTCTTTTACCGTTATTGTCAATCTGACCAATGAAAATGTTACCATCTTCATCAGTCTCGCTCACTTTTGTTAGAAAATTACTGCCTGTAACAGAAAAAATTTGACTCACTTCATTATTTTTTTTTGTCTCAAACCAGTGTTGAACTTACGACATTTGGGCGAACATGCTGATCGACTTTGCTGAAATAAAAGACCAATTGCTAGTCCCGTAATACAAGCAAGGCTGATCGAGAAAATCATCGCACAAATTGTTAGAATGTTCATCTTGTCATTATTAGTTTTAATCTTTAGTGTTTTATCATCGGACATCATTTCAAAGATTGAAGTGTATCAAGAATTCTTGTTCTATTTAGAGAGAAAAGCGACTCGGTATTTATTCTGTTTAGTTATGACAGTATGAGTAATTCCCATACTATTATAACCAACTCTTTCGGGAGAATTCCCTACATATTCAGTGGTTGTGTTACAGAAGATAGAGACTGTCATCTTTTGCGCTCTTCTATGTTGATTTCTCTAGCATATAGCACATCATTGAGAAAGTACATGCAGAACAGAACAAAATAGACGACCTAGATATGACGCATGTCTATCAGAACCAAACTGTCATACACT